TATATTATAATACTAAATACTAATAATACTAAAATGCCTCAACCAGGTACGTGCAATTTATTTTGATGATATGTGAATTCCACAAGGGATGCAAAACTGTGGAAAACTTGACTTTCATAAAATAGTTTGGGTTCAAAGGGCCCTTTAAAGGTCATCTAGTTCAAACCCCTCACAATAAGCAGGGACATCTTCAACTAGATCGGGTTGCTCAGAGCCCTGCCCAACCTGACCTTGAATGTTTCCGGGGTGGAGCATCTCCCACCTCTCTGGGCAACCTGTGCCAGTGTTAAACCACCCTCACCCTCAGCGTAAAAAATTTCTTCCTTATGTCTAGTCTGAATCTACTCTCTTTTAGTTTAAACCATTACACCTTGTCCTACAGCTACAGGCCCTATTAAAAAGTCTGTCCCCATCTTTCTCCTAAGACCCCTTTCAGCACTGGAAGGTGCTGTAAGGTCTCCCCAGAGCCTTCTCTTCTCCAGGCTGAACAACCCCAACTCTCTCAGCCTGTCCTCGTATGGGAGGTGCTCCAGCCCTCTGATCATTTTTGTAGCCTCCTCCAGACCCCCTCTAACAGGTCCATGTCCTTCCTGTGCTGAGGACCCCAGAGCTGGGTGCAGCACTCCGGGGGGGGGTCTCACAAGAGCAGAGTAGAGGGGGAGAATCACCTCCCTCGACCTGCTGGTCACCCTGCTTTTGATGCAGCCCAGGATATAGATGGCTTTCTGGGCTGCGAGTGCACATTGCTGGGTGATGTCCAGTTTGTCATCCACCAGTACCCTTAAATCCCTCTCAGCCACGCTGCTCTCAATCCCTTAATTCCCCACCCTGTATTGATACTGGGGGGTTGCCCCAACCCAGGTGCAGGACCTTGCGCTTGGCCTTGCTGAACCCTCATGAGGTTCACATGGGCCCACCTCTTGAGCATGTCCAGGTCCCTCTGAATGGCATCGTGACCCTCAGGCATGTCAACTGCACCACTCAGCTTGGTGTCACCTGCAAACTTGTTGAGGGTGCACTTGATCCAACCGCCTACGTAAGTGATTGAGATATTAAGCAGGGCTGGTCCCAGCAGGGACCCCTGAGGGACACCACACATCACTGATCTCCATCTGGACATTGCGCCATTTACCACTGGAGAGCAATAATGTTGGTGATACAACACACATCATCTTTCAAGGTCCTTCAGCAGCCTCAACACTCCCAGTTTGTTCTTTAGAATATGCTGTGAAGTTCTTCCCTAGGCCACTCTGCATGAAAGGCTCACGCGGACAAAGGGGAGTTGTGTTTTACATCTGGCATACAACCTTCATTTCACTGTCTTAAGAGAAGCTTTGAAAGACATTTTAAACAGACAAAGATCTAGGCTTATACTATGTGAAAGTAATCTTAAATCTATTATGCATGAAGCAGGGTGTCAATATTTGTCTTTCAAGTTGGCAGGGATAGCCAAATTCTTATCTGGCATATCACAACCTAGTGCCACCTTTCCTACGAAATACACATGTAAAAATTCACATGCAGAGCTCCTATGTACACTATGTTAGTGTTGATCATTTGCAGGTGAAAAAAACAGAGCAATGAAGTCCAGTCAACAATGGGGATGTTTTTAATATACTCACCTTCCCCGATAGACAAACTTCATGGGCTCGACTGCCAGTGCGGTGGCTACCACATCATCCGCATTGTGCCTGCGGCCACTAACTGTCATTAGGCCATCCAATTTTCCAACCACAAACACCAAATAGTCCTGCAAAGAAGACAGGATTAGAAATAGAGCAGAAAAAACTCCAGACTCCCGGCAATACATGTCTGATTAAAGCCAACAATACTGAGGTCACTGCCCTGACACAGAATTCTGCTGAATTTGGGGGCATCACTTAGCGTTGGGAGTTAGAACAAAGCAGAGCCCAGATGGTTCATCCACACTTACGGGACCCACAAAGCCAAGCAATCCTGTTCTTGTAAAGGGTTGGTCTGAAACAGGCACGCCGGCTGCTGTCACTGGGATGGCCTGAAAGAACACACAAGTATTCAGTCACTCAGAGTACTGATAAGAAAAGTGAAGTTAAAATGCTTTCTGCCTCTGTTTCATTGCAGGTCTATGCTCAGTTGAAATACCCGATGACAACAGCTACTATCATGTCAAGTATGAATAATGGCTTTTTGAATAATGAAGAACATGCCAACTCTGTGGTAGCCTTCTTTCTTAATTTTTTCTCATCTACTTAGCCTTCATAAGGAGAGTTCACACTGCTTTTCAAATCAGGTCTCATAGTACACCCTCATAGAGCACTTAATCAGAAAGTCTTTCCGTTGCTACCATTAGCATGGAAAGCTGATAAAGCTTTTTTTGAATGAGAAGACTACGGTCAGGATTTCTTTCCTCTCTCTGGGAGAACTTCACACTTCAGCTGAGTCTTCAAACTGCTGCCCAGTGTAACGCTACTGTGTGCAATTCCCAAAGGACTTTCACTCCTTTCTTGCCAGAAAATGGAAAGCATTAAATCTATGTCCCAAGCTGTGCCCCAATAAACTCAAAATGTCTACAGGTAATTTTACATAAGACTACTATGTTAACAGAGAACGAAGATGAACCTAAATGCTAACACAGGCACAACACTGGATTGCAGAATCTAGAGGCAGCTGATTCTCTGGTGATGGTATTTTGTACTTTTAGTTATAAGAGACAAAATTTTGAGTTCTGACAGAGAACAAAACAAGGTTTATTTGGCCATGGCTTTTTCTAATAAAGTTAGAAAGGAAGTTTAAGGAACAAAGTTTCTTTGCAAGGATAATACTAGAAAGGTAACAATGAAACTTTACACTACAGAGAGAAATACAAACCTCAAATACATTCTTGGTGATTCCGAGGAGGCCAAAATACGCCATCCCAGTTGTACCTGAATTCACACATATTTCTCCAACCTCATCAGCTTTACACAGATAAGGGGTCCCATCCACCTTCACAACACAGACATTTGCTAAAGGGAGAGGCAGAACACAGAATCACAGCATTGGTATGCTTCAGCAGCTGACACAGAAGTTACTTTGCCACTGAGAGGCAGATAAAGATTTTCATAGGAATTATCTACCAGCTACGGCAAAAACACAGCAGGCAAGAGAGCTCTAGCTGTCTTTCTGACAGCCCGTGTAATGTATTCTCCAAGATTAAAGATACAAGTTCGCAAATGCAAATTTTTTTCTCTTACAGTGTTTCATAGCCTACACATCAGCTGCAACTGAACCCAAAACTGTAGCAATTGCTTTTCAACATGAAGGCAGATGGTTTTGACCAAGTACAAGTGTCTATCAGAATAAAGATGAAAAATAAGAAGATACCAATTACAGACATACCATTCCTTTTATTTATTGCGCACTTTGGTATTCATAGTACTGTCCCTTAACTCGTGTGAGAAGCACATTAGAAATGGAGAGAAAAATAGGCTATTTTATTCTATCCTTGTCAGGTCTGTGATTTTTCTGTTTTATGTCCCATCTTCTTTTAAAGCAGGTCAGTCTGCCAACTATTATTTGGAGAGCACAGAGCTGCTCCTTACTGAACTTACTCCTGTGACTACACATTATCTCTTCCCTATCTTCACTTTGATGCCCTTAAACTCATTAAAAGGATTGCATTTCAGAAAGGTCCTACTGTTATTACCCTTACCGATTTCATTCTGAAATCTCAGCATCTTCCTACACTGAAATTTTCTTATTTCTAATCAAGGATATACACACTTGTAAACCAAATATTACACTGAGCTTTGCTCTGGCCATATTTTACTTCTGAAACTACTGTTTTCTCAGAGGTTTCTCTGGCTAAGAACCCTTGCTTAAGCAGCCTGGATTTGACTTTTCCAAGTCCCAAAGGGAAAGTAAAAAGGATACGGAGGGAGAAGGCACAATGGAGCAAGGAAGTTTTTAGCTTAGCACGTAAGACTCAAGATTAACAAAGAAATCAAAATGGCTATCTGGGTCAAAAGAAAATAAACAGAGCCTTTGAAAAAATAACACAGACTATGCCATAAATTAATGTTCTGCCCCCTCCCATTGCATCTGCTTCCAACTCAGATTATCAGAGTACTTTGTGGTCATGCACACTATACTAAAGAAAAGAAAATGACCACGAGACCCCAGAGGTATCAGGAATTTATTTAACTGGTTAATTTCTATCAGGATGTTTTGAATGTTTTGGCCATGTCTGGATGGGAAGTCTAGGTAAGGCTTACAACAGCCATTACAAAGGACTCTGTAATTGTTTTCTAATTTAGCCAGTCTCAAGTGATAGACAGATGGCCCTTACTTTTACCAGTGTTCAACTAGCACAAAGAGAAATCATAAATGGAAAGTGGCATATTTTCTTTGCTACTACTACATGATAAAGCCAGTTCTGCAGCAGGCATGGACCAAGCACTCTGCTGGGAGAACAGGTTCATCGGTACATTCTCAAATCTCAGAGAAGTCTCCAGTTCTCAACAAGTTAGGCCTGAAGAGGGGTGATAATAATTCACCCTACCAATAGATCAACCTCTAAATTATCTTGGTTTCATAAAAATTAGCTATCAGAACAACCAGCATTTATTAATAAAACGTTTGGAACCATGCAATAATAACCTCTGGTGACCAAATAAGGAGATGCCACTCAAATTCTGGTACAGGTCCAAGTTCAAATTACAAAAACAGTTTCAGTTGCTGAAAATTATATGTATGAACTAGAAGGCTGGAATTAAATTATACAGTATGAACTATCAGTTAGTTGTGCAAAAAACCACACTTTGCAATTTACTTGCAATTTTGCAAAAACTGAAACAGAATAAATAGTTTATTACCACAGGAAATAATTGAAGTTAATCTCAGAACTCTGCATGCAACACTTAAGCAACGATGCAGAGAGAAGTATTAATAACTAGAGAAAGTGCAACAATTTGTAGGCATACACAAACGCTACAGTCCTCAACTCATTCAGGAACATGGAATAACCAACAGATTAGCCTACAGCCCCAAAAATGATGCTCCATCCCTGAAGCCCCAGGACAATCCTATCAACCTGATCAATAAAAAAAAAAACAAAAAACTTACCAGTAACCAATGTATGATACCGGTAGACTACATGTACATTCTAACAGCAGGCATAGTTCTGCCCTGCCATGTGATACTGCAAGGTTTTCCTTGTGCAGTATCTGTAGAGCCTGTACTCTTGCTTCTCCTTCTTTTCCTGCATTATGTGTGACATACAAGAGAGTGCATCTACCACCATTTCAGTCTCTCTCAACAGCATTGCATCTGAAAAAGAATTAGAGAGAAGGGAAAAGCAGATGGGACAGGAATGTACATGTGGACCACACATCACGAAGAATACCAATTACTGGTAAGAAAGCGTGCTTTCTTCAAACGAGTCCACATGTACCTTCTTACAGATGGTGACTCTCAGCAGGTAGCCCTGCCATGAGATCTCTGGCAGAGGATGAGAATCCTACTGTACAAACAAATGACTGCACTGATGCCCTACCAAAGACAGGATTCAGCTCTGGATCTTTCAAGACCAGCACAGCATGAATGCAAGAAGAACGTCAGAGGCCTGTATAGCAGAAGGCTCCTACCAAAGGTGCGTGATGAGCGTTAGAAAGTGCTCTTTTGTTCCACTTTCACCATTTCATAGTGGATCTGTATGCAACGGATATCCATTTGGATTGTTACTGTGTACCAACAGTGGAATTCCAGGATCTTCTTGTAGCAAGCAAGTCTTCCTAAAAGGCCCGAGTCCATGAGAATAAAAACAAGAGGGCCCTCCTTCAGTTATAACTTCTGTTCTAGAAGCATAAAGCATTAAAAAATACTAAAAGGCTAGGATAAAATGTCTCCACCGTCATTGTGGAAGGTATTTGCACAGTTTCCAGGGAAATTTTTGAAGAAAAGAACATATGGGAATGTCTAATGCAAGGACCTGAATCTTCCTCTGCTCTTCTGGGAAGGGCAACAGACATAAAGCAAGCCAACTTCCTAGATAAGGATGAACAAGAATCTAGACTCTAAAGGTGTCACACAAGCATCCAAAGCACAACATTTAAATTGGAAGAAAACATCTCATCACAAGCATACACATTGCCACAGATCTCCAAGAGAAGTACTTCTGCAGTGGCAGACTGTTGTGCCATCATGTGATAGACTGAAGCCAAGTGGAACACACAGAACTGATTAGTACGATAAATGCTAAGGACCAAGTGGGAATGAGGTATTGCTATCTCACATCCACAATCTAAGGAATAAGACAGAAAGCTTCACAAAGTTGTTCTGTAACAACTCCTTTCACAAATTAGGCACTTAAAAGAACCAGATTCCCCTGCAGCACAGATGCACCACGATAACTACCAGAACCTGGGAAAATGTTTGCCAAGACACAGACAGAGGAAACAATAACATCCACAACATCCCCAGACCGGAAACAAAGTAAGCAGCCTGCCATGTGAGAAATTTGAACCATTCCTGAACTTCGGGGAAGGGTACTGAATACAGTCACAATCCAGAATTTGAAACTGTATATGCGTGAGTTTATCTTGCAGAAGCCCAAGATCTGGCACCAATCCAAAGTTTTCTGCTTGAGTATAAGAAAGTAGCTGCTGCAGCACTCTTTCTATGAACCAGGCTTTGTATGATTAGGAACTATAGGGATGTAAATCTTCTGGATTAGAGAAAGTTACTCTTCTGTCAAAGAAAGAATGAGAGAAGGATCCCTGTAAAATAATAGAAATGTTCAGTTGGGAAGTAGCAGGGAGGCAAACTTAACTGAATACCCTGAGCATCCCTATCCAGGTCCAAGCCTAAGGTACAATAAGCCTCCAAGCTGACTGATGACACGGCAATTGCATCTCAGTTGATGGGAAAGCTGGAGGTACAAAAGAGGCAGAAGAAGAGAGGTTTGGTACTCTCCCTACTATCTTTACCAGTCCAATTTGAAAAAATGAACTAAAGATTGCTATGAGCCAAATATTGCTTCTTATTACGTTAGTTCCAGGCAGAAACCATGCAAAATAGCCCAAGGTGAGCAACAGGTGAGACAAATCATCATCCCTCCAGGTGCTGCAGAGAAGATTCCACAGGCATGCCCACTAGGTTCTCTTCTAAGAATTCCCATGCTATCTTTGATGGTAAGATTTCTTTGTGGATGCTTGCACTTCCCTGGTGGCTCTTGTGATTGGCATTCACAAAGTGAACAGCCAGGGCAACTGAAGAGACTGGGGCACCAAGAGTGGCCTATGGGTGGAACAGCAGTGACATAAGACATGTTCTTTGAGCTGAGGGGTCTGTTGAAGAAGATCCCCTAAGCAGCTGGGCTCAGTGTCTCAGAACAAATAACAAGATCTGAAGACAAGGAGGATGAAAGTGTATACTTTATTGGTGACTGTTTAACCAGATGGTTCCTGAATAAAGTCTGTCACGGATCTTCAAGGGGAATGAGATCAAAACCATTTGGCTTGACTGACTAAGCCTCAGCACGACTACTAGTTCTTGGCTAGGAGACTACTTTCACAGCACATTTGACCAAATGAAATTCAGGAATGTGACATCTTATGTTGTAAGATGTTTGAAAGACTAGGGCATGAAGTCACTTCCCAGACCTTGTATGTATTCAGTGGGGATCAGAAGATGGAACAAAGCCTTCAGGGATGGCATGTGACTCAATTTAGGCCTTCGGTGAAAGCACAGCAATCTAAGGAAAGGAAAAAAAAAACCAAAACCAGAACCAGACAAAGAACAAGACTCACCAGTCACCAGAGTAATTAAAGAGGGCAACTAGCAGGAAAGGAAATGGTGGTATGTTCTCTCCTGTATGCCAAACACCAACTGAGAATGGACAAAGCACATCCTCCACGAATACTACATAGGAAAAAGTATAAATCTTAAAAGGTAAAGCACAGGTATTTCCACTGTTATGAACGTTATCCAATGTACACGCAGACTCATTTCTCATTTCAAATTAAGT